AATCTCATCGGCCCCAATTTGGGTGGACGATGCCTTTAACCTTGCACCACCTTCATCTTTTGCCTTATCATATGCTTCGAAGGTTTTCCTACCCAAACTGGAGAGCCTCTGTAAATGGTATGTGCATCAACAACATTCCAACATTTATATCACAATAAATGCAACGTAGAACTCAGGAAACAATGTAGCCCTTGTAATCAGCGATTTATTGAACCGAATAGACACTGAAGTGAAAACCCGATCGAAGAAAGCGGATGACAAATTGCAACATATCAAACAACTCAACGGGCCACAAATAACAACTCTAAAGGACGCAGATAAATATATGAATGAAAGACGCAAATGACACTGGTCATGATTAATACATGACCGATAATGAAGATCCTAATAGCAGATCAAAGACAAAGCTCGCAGATAGAAGGCCAAGTAAGAATCGATGAACATAAAGAAGTACTACTCGAACAAGTGCGAAAGACAATCACCTAAAAGATTGCGTTGGAGGCCCCCACCACAAATCCTCCTTGGGCCGTTTGGCCGGATCAGCCCCTGGTGTGAAATAGGGCGAAAACTCAATTTGTGAGTTGCATCGAGGAGGTAAACTGCTTAGAGAAAATTTGCTTAAGGTTGTGTGATGCATACCAGTAGGCGAATTGACTACGGATCGGCTCCTCTCGTAATACCTTGTGGTCGTTTTGATTTCGGGAAGGAAGGGCTCGTGATAGATTTTGTATGGGTCGTCAGACACCTTTATGGAAGAGTTCCATGGAGGACGTCTGCCATGAACGTCCGCTGAGCGGGAGGCTTTCGCTCGGTGACCCATCGCGGAACTGCTGCGCCGCTGTCTGAGGTCAGCAGCGGACTTCGACAGGCTCTCCTGCCGACGTGTTGCGATTTTCCTGCTGATCAAAGCACTCGACTTGGATGAGTGTGGAGTATCCACTTCCTTCACCGGTTCTTTCTTAGGAAGATTGCTTCTTGAACCCGAAGCAGCTGTTTCCCCTTCATCTGAAGTCTGAGAAAGAACTTTCGCTTTTTCCTCGGATCTCCTGCCAGGAGCAGTAGGCAAGCGTTTAGTATGTCTAGTTGCCTTGCGAACCTTGCTGCCTGTGCCGACTTGTGACCTGGACGTAAAAGCGCCCCTGTTTGAGACAGAGTCAGGAGAACCGTCCAGCAAGTCCAATCGGTCTAGCGATCTCTTGAATGTGACGTCCGGGATGTCGGGGGACGAAACGAATTCGCGGTCTCTCTCAGCTTTTGATTCTACGGGTGGCGCACTAGATGTTGATGGCATGGAGGAAAGCTGAGATCGACGCAGGATTGATGACTCCGACTTAGATTTAGAGAACTGGTCAGCTTGCGCTCTCTTCGTTTCCTCCTTCTCCAACACTTCAGAACTTGATGGTGATGCACGTTTCTGCACTGATGAGGGTATGTCAACGTCCGTTTGCGTATCGGAACCTGTGTTTGGCAAGGTCGAATTTGGCATATTACGTTGCCACTCCGAAAGAGAGCGTGTTGTATTGGGTGCGGATATAGAATAATCTTGAGGTTGATGTTGTTGTAGGGCAGCCTCTGCAGCTATTTCGGCGCTCTTCTCGGAAATGCTCGAGAGTTGGCGCTCTGGCCTGCGCATTCTTCTCCTAGTAAGAGGAATCCCGTTTTTGAATCGGCCAGTTTTTGTGAAATGTCTGAACGCGGCCACCTGAAAAGGTTTATGCGAATAGCAGTTGGAGTGATTTTCTCGCTACGCTTACCTCTGGATCGCTTTCATCGGAGCTGTGATCTCGAGTAGGAGGCTTCAGCAGCTCGCGTGACCCGCTGCGTATCGGCTTCTCTCGGCTTGATGCTCTTTTCAGAGCGTCCGAGTGCTCACGTGCTTTCTTGGGAACAAACACGACATCGTTCGAGATGACAGAAGTCGCGTGTGCTCTCCCAGGTTTCGATGTTTTCGGCCTCGAATCCGACTCGGTGATCTCAAAGTCGGGCAGAACAGGAAGTGCTGGCAATATGGCGACAGGAGCAAGGTCGACGTCCGACGAATCTTTATCTTCCATATGAGATGGCAATGTGATGTGTGGTGTTATCTCAATAATCTTTTCATCAATGGACAGCTCAGGTTCTTCTTTGGGAGGGATCGGTAGCTCGATGCCTGCTTTTGACATCTCTTCCACAATTTGCTCGTCTGATTGTTGTAGAGTGAGATGAGGAGGCCTTTCGGGCACCGACGACGACGATATTGAAGAGTCTTCAATCTTCACTCCTAGCAAAGCGGCAAGCCTTGCGGATTTGTCAGTTCTGCAAAAATGATAAATGAAAAGACTGTATAGATTAGCATCGTTAAGAAAAAAGGTTTCGTAATTACCTGTCCTCTTTCGGGGAGACCACGGCACCATTCTGAGCATCGTCATCAGTGCTTGATTTTTCTCCAGCCATCGTCGCCGCCACAAAAACGGGCTGCTTAGGGGGCTCTTCTGGTGGTGGTGGCCTGGGTTTTTTTGCTATGCTCAATGCATGGACTTAAAAAACATTAGAAACTCACTTTACAACTGTTGCTTTACCCGCTTTAGGAGGCACGGCAGCGATTAGGGTTACGGACATCTGCGGATATCGGCTATAAATCAACGTGTCTAGTGAACTAGAGCTACCCTTGCGATCTGTAAAAGAGATGATATTACATCAAGTGAAGTGAGTGCTGTCGAGTATTCTGATAAGTCAATGTGAAAATTTCTGCTAATTGATTGCATCACAATTAACTGAAGCACTTGATTCACAAGAGTTTCGTGTTCTGGGTGTGTAGCCCATGTAAATAAAGAGTTTTGAGAAAAAAAA